ACAACCGCATGATTTGTTCTACCAATCCGCATATTTTATTTAATTAATTACGATATAAATATCCAGGCCTCAAGAGCATTTATCGAAAGGAGATCTCTGATCGCCAGGTTATCTTTTGAACAAAAATACCCTTTAAGTTTTCCCGCGGGTTCCTAAAAGTGTTTGTTATCCAAGTCCCGGACTCTGTGGAAATTGGGTGAATTTAGCTTATCCGATTGATATTACCCTGAGGGAAAGATAAAAATTCCGAATTTAACATCCATTTGCAACCGAGTTAGTCCAGCAAGTCACTGGGATGTCTTTGGAGGATTTACGGCGTAAAGCTCTGATTGGTGACCTTTCGGTAATAGAGTCTTCCACAGAGAAACTTTTCGCAGTTAGATTTGGCCAGCGAGCCATAACTAAGTAAGAAGGCGAACGATGCGTGGGAAACATATACGGCTTCACCTAGCTATAACTACTGCACTTTACTTGCTGCAAGCACATACTGACAGTAGACATGAAATATCACGTTCTAATATTAATATCAAGTATCCAGTACTGCAGGGGGGGGCACTAGTTGTTTACACTATTAGGGGGACATTGCTTGCTTTTTCGTCCGTTCACTTTGTTCGAGTAAGACGTGTTTATCGCGCATTAATCAAAGTCAAGTGAAGGAGAAGAACCACTCAAAGAAATTTAATCACTGCTCCAACGCATAAATGACATCTGACCAACTGATAGACGGAAAAGCTGGAGGCTTATATGACTTCAGGTTGGGGGAGGGTTATTTTACTCCGTGCACCTCAAAATATTTTTTCGCGATTGCAATTCAAGTAGATAATGAGTAAGCCGAATATCTGCAGATTGTTTGCATTAATCACCCTGCGCACAAAGATGCTTGAGGCGTTGGCGCATAAACAGTGGAATTCGCTTTAATAAAATCATCTGGAAACTCATACTGAAATCAGGGTCTAACTATGAGTCCTCCAATCTGTTTTAGCGTGCAAAGATTTTTATATAACATGTCTGGGCTGCTAGATTCGGGCTCTCGTGAAATGTTAATGAAAAGTATGAAATTTGTTTTTGATTAGAAAATATAGCGTAGATGGGGCTCTAGCATTGATAATCGTGTAGCATAATTCCAAGATATATCAGTCATGTTAGAATGCTCGCGTTCGAATGCGGTTAGTTCTGGAAAATAACACAAATCACACTCGGTAAAACAAAGGAAAACCTAAAAAGTCTGAATTTACACTTTGGTTTGCGAGGCCCTAAAATTTTTAAAAAATAGTTTATGCATAACAATATTTTTTATACTTGTTACGCGTAAACTTATAAATTCATGGAAGTTACATCCCAAAGAGGGTTGCTATGGGTTTTAAAGGAAGATTAGCAGTTCCCAAATAACGTTGAATTACACAGCAGTTGTACTTAAATTTACGGCTTCAACACGCCATGTTGCATACTTTTCATGTAAGGAAAATCATATATATTATTACGTTATTACTTCCAAGCGTTGGCTCCTCAAAAGCCATCCCAAGTGTGATTAAATTTACGGCACACGGCATGGCGTCCTAACTCAAATTCTTAGAGCGTTGGCGGCGCAAAAGCCTTCCCGGCTGCGTGGCTTCGATTCCTAACGAAACCGCGAATTTTTCACAATTGGTTCAACTGAATATGTCTATATTTTACCATGCTATTAAGAGGAAGTCATAAAGCGGTCAGGTAATTGTACAATGGATGTGAACTGTTTTGTGCACTTCCTAAGCAGTGCTTAGAAGCTTCCTGATGCAATGCCGTATAAACAGAAATTTTGCGATGTAAAAAGCTCATAATTCTGAACTTTATAAAAGTTTAGGAAACCCTTTCCTCGGTTAAAAACTTTAAGGAAAATTACACCTCCTACGAGTTCAGTACAAGAACAAAGTATTTTTATGCATAAGTACACAGAAAATCAGTAATAAAAATTAGTTACACATAATGCAATTTCTGCGGGTTATCGGAAAGAAGCTCGTTCGAAAGCTAGCATCTTCCTGTGATTTAAATTTGATTGAGTTTATGTAACAAGATAAGCAATATTGCAATCCCACCTAATTGAAGATTGGTTTAAGAATTTCGGTTACTATTTAATAAGATAAGTTAGCTTCTGTTGGAAAATAATATTAATAAGCCATTCGAACGAATTTTGAAAACCTCAGCGGGCTCAGTGGGACTGGAAGCCATGCCATCTAGGGGGGAGAGCTTTAGTACAGTTAAGTGAGCTACGAGGCCTCAGCGGGAGCCGTGAATTCAATCACATTTGGGTCAAAATACCCACCCACTGCAAAATACGGAATACACCATTTCCGGTAGAGTAAGCTGATTTCCGAAGCAGAATTTCTTAAACAATCATCGAGACTCCACCAGAATGAATACTAGGCTCACTTAATTATTGAGGGGGATTTGGCAGATTTGAATAATTCCTAATCAATCTAAAATCCACCAGATGACTACCGGGCAGACTTAATTAGTGGGGGAGGATGTGACAGCTTTAAGTAATTCATTTGACGCAATTTTGAAAAACTCGGCGGTCTTGCTGGGATTTAAACCACCGCCAACAAGGGGAAGGCTCTAGTACAACCTACGCTCCGGCCAGCTGAGTCTCAGTGGTGCAACCGAGTTTTTTATAATTATAATTCAAATAAATTATTCAAATCTGCCAGATCTCTCCACTAATTAAGTGTGCCCAGTAGTCATTCTGGTGGGTCGCAGTTTAATTGCTTGGGAAATCCGGCTTGATGGATTCCATACAGGTTGCAGTAGACTGGGCGGGTAAATTGACCTACGTGTGATTAAACTCACGGCTCCCCTTGAGGACTTCGTAGTTCAGTTGGCTAGAGCATAGGCTGTACCGAAGCATTCCCTTGAGTTTGAATCCCACCGAGGTCACAGAGTTCTTCATAAGTGGGTAAAATGAACTATTCATATCTGCGAAAACCCTCTAGTCCTATTTATAAAGCCCACTTTACCTATTCCTTGAAGAAGCTGTGGATATAAAGCAATTTTGGTTAGTCGAAGAAACTCAGTTGGGTTCTGAAGCCAACTGCGATGCTCAGTATCTACGCTGAGCTCAAGCAAGTTCCAATATGGATGACTGACGAACGCACGCCAAACAAAAATATTCTGTAGAAAACGCCTAGTGGGTTCTGGTAGACAAACCGACAACTGCCTATGAGTGTCTGCGAATTAAGCACGAATTCTGGAAGATATTTGAGCGGAACCCGATAGTTCTACCGTCGATTTCGACGATTGCCACTACGAGCTTCAACGAGTTGAAGCACACGGTGCATTCCACAATATATACACCGAGGCAGACTTGCGAGGCATCTACCTCACTCTCTGACCACTCCTACACCGGGTTCTGGTTGTCAAGACAAAGTCAAGAAGGCCGGAGATGAAGAAGAGCGAACCCACATACATGGTAAAATGCCCTGGTTAAGATCTCCCTACCGCCAACGTCCGTTAAAGACCGGAAAACAGTCAGGTCTGCTATCATTTATTCGTCGCTGAGCCAACTTATCCTGGACGATACGCTTCCTTTGAACATATAATTTACAGAAGGAGTAATTTGCTACCAAAATAGTACAAGAAGTAATAATTGTGTGTATAGTATCTATCAAATATATCTGACTTAATAAGAGTATCAAAATAAGTCACAAAATGCATAGAACTTAAGTAGTCATTTTTTCAGAAGTTAAATTTTGGCAGACGCTCAAAAAGCCCGAATCCTGGCGTGACTGCAGTATAGTGAGATTAGACTGCACGATAATATACAGTACAAATCTGCTTAACCCATTTGTTTAAATTGAAATCACATTTCATAAGACAGAGAATAAACTGTATTTACGCTTCGTGTGTTCCTTCAAATAGCTTTGTTGCTGGGATGGCAGCGGGCGGATGCAATTGATCGACATCCTTGTAGGAGGGAAAGGCAAAACGAGAGAGCGCGAGAGTGCGATTGGTGCAGCGCAAGTCTTGCTCAGAAACTATAATTCAATTCGTGGAAGACTCATATTCATCCTGCAGCTGCCGGAAGATGGTCAAATGAAGCCAACCCGGCCAAACCTTTCCCGTTTCCAATCTGGCTCTCCACGTCATACATGCGCCGGGGACACGGAAGTTGCATACTATGCATGATACGAGTGTCTCTTTAAATATACTAACGGTAGGCTGGGTCCGTTTTTCGGAATGACAGCAGCCAAGTGCAATCCACCGAAGTCCCACTAGGCGGCATCAATTATGTAAGAACTGACAGGAACAACTTGCGGGAAAAATCGGCGTTCAGCACACGTTTTCGGCAACGTAATAAATGGGCAATTAATTTATAGGGCCTATGTTTTACAGTCTCATACGTATTTATTTGAGACTTGCGTCATCGTTGTAGGCTCGGGCGATTTCAGATTAATTATCGGTATGGCTCGCTCGAAGCTGGATAAATTTCCTAGCTAAAGGCCGTTTTTGGATAAACTGTTCTGTTTATAATACACACGGACTTGGAACAGGATGCCTGTCAGCGTATGTGCATATATATGCTATCTATGTCATTTACCTGTGCTTTCGATGTCATTATCTATCTAACTGTTGTTGATGACCTGTACAGTTGCAAAGCAAACGAGAAAAAAAAGTTAATTCGCTAACGTCTCGGCAAATATTCTTACGTGGCTTATGGTTCGTGAGTAACTTTTAATTGTTTTCCTTCAAACAGCGTCGGTCACTGTTACATTCAGTAATTATCCGGAGGCCTGCTTATTTGGTTGCACTAATTTATTTTAAGTTCGATTTAGACCACTTTACTAACAATGCCATTCGAAAAATGTGGTCAGCTGACTAATTGTAGATGTGACTTTCATTAGAAAATTTGAAGACACATTAAATGTCTGCCAAATTCAACCCAAATAAAGTTACGATATTTCGCTTCCCTCCGATGTCATTGATAAAATACTAACTGAAACATAGTTCAGCGCATTTAGTTACAACAATTAATATTCTTTTTCTCTTGCATTTTTACTTACTTTTCCAAAACTGCCCCTTCCGAGAATCCGGAGAAATTTGAAGTCTGAAATGCGCAGTGTGTCCTGCTTGCTCTGAATTCGAATTTCCTCCAGATTATGTCCACTCCAGTCATTAGGGGAGGTCTAAATGCAAAAGTAATGCGCGTACATTTTTTTGTAAAATAACCTTATGCCTAAATACGGTTGTCTTAGCGACCGGGCTTGTGGTTATTGCCCACCGAGTTTAGATACCTTCGCCAGAGGCTTCATCAACTATCATTTCTTAGCCTTGTAGCAGGAGTCGGACAAAAGGCATTTGTTGTTTTGGCTTAATGACCCCATTTGCGCGTGTTTTGCTTTTTCGTAAGAACGAAATATGTAAATACATATCTGCTTATCACCACTGGATACTCACATAATGGAAGAGGCAGGGCTGTGGAGTGTACGTTCTATGCGAATGGCAGTTTTAATCAGAAACTGTTCCCGGATTTTTAATACCATGATTTGAACAATCCAATGTTTTCTAAACGTGGACAATTGTTTAACATAACCTGTAAGTTTGATAGCAGCTCAGACAACTCACCATACACTTCGAATCATAGGAGCTGAAGAGGTTGGAGGTTTCTTCTGAACAGGGAATCGAGTAGAATTCGCCCTCCTCTCGGCTGAGTAGCCTGAACCAGCAGTCTACGGGTCGTTTGATAATTTCAGAAACGCCGAACGACAGGGCTCCCATAAAGTCGTCTCGGGATGCTCGATCCCAATCCCACATCTCAATCATGAGGCGTTTTGACTCGTCCTCTGCATTCACGTCACTGCAATTTTCGAGGATCAATAAGTTTAAGAGAAGTTCCCGGTCGAACCAAACAATTTCTAGGAAAATCCCAACTTTATGAACGTTGACGTGCATAGCATGAAAATGACTGACAATTTTGAAACTATATTATATTAAGCAAAAAAGCATGTCAGACACTGAGATTTTCACAATCAGGGTCAAATTAACTTTTCGCATCTTCCAAGACACTATTTATACCAAATCGAGCAAAAGGTCAACTCTAGTCACCGTTTTTAAGCTGGGTTGTTTATGCTGAGAATAATCTCGGATACTGCGTATCACGGTCCCTCATTTATTTTTTTCCTACTGGTACCAGAATGCAACCACTCTTATTTAGTTAAAGTACAGAAGAAGTGGTAATATAAGACCAGAATTGCTTTCACTCGCCTTAACTAAAAAAAACAAGTCAAAGGACCCTTCTATCGCCCAAATATGCATATTATTCTTAATACTGAGCATCCTTTCAAACAATAAACAACTGCGAATTATAAATAGATTGTGAAGCTTACGCCAACACGAATTTCACTACACTTTCTGAGCATCCGGTTCTCGGTTCAGTTTCAATATTTTGAAGACTATTCGTGATCAAAACTTTGTAAAACGAAAATATATCCTTCTTTCGAGCAGAAATTTTAAGGAAGATTTGATTTTCTACCAAATGAGAATACGAAAACATGATAGCGTCGGAAAGAAATCACAGAGAACAGTACTCAAGAATAAGGCATTTTTAACTAATGAGCTGTTTGCTGGCAGCCAGAAAAAGCGCATTCAAGAGCCAGCATCGTGAGCTTATATTGCAAAATCATCAATGTTACAATCCAGCTTAAGTAAGCCTTCCTCACCAAGAAGACGTTTCGAAAATTCGGTTGACATTTCATGAGTTAAGTCCCATTCCTTTATATATAAACGAATTCGTAACCACGGACATCCGTTCGGACAGTGAACTACTGGAAATCAAAAAACCGTTCTTTAAAGGTGAAGTTCATCTAATGTGACTGGTTCAAAATTTATATCACAAGCTATCACTTTAGCCAAGAGATACCTGTAAAAATAATTGACTACACCTCGACCTAAAAATTGAGCATAACCCATAATTTACTTAAATGTGACTATAAAACAGTGATAGTTTAGGGGTCGCCCAGCCAAGATACAACTTGCCGTCACTTGCTGGGAGGAAATCAACCTTCACAAGTGAACTTTAAAGAAAGTAACAAAGTTGTTTCATCAGAATACATTTAAACGTGACAAGGGCTAAACTGAATGACGTCCTACAAATGCACTGAATAACGGGTCAAGAACTCTATTGAAATCATAATGTACTACGCATTCGTTCCCTTTTACCCTAATTAACTACTTGGAAAGCGTTTGATAGTAGGGTACTTTTTATGACTATAATATCATGCCTGTCCATTTAAACAATTTAAATCCGCCTTTTCTTTAAATACTTTATGTCTCGCGTTGTGTCTTCTTGGACGTTTTGCGAATACATGTCTCCATTACATGCAAGTACGTCGCTAGGTTGCTCAGGATTTAAAAGGGGCGCAAATTACGACAAAGAACGGTGCGAAAAGTTATTTTTGGTATGATTTCTATCAGATACGTTCGCATTCACATGTGCATCAAAAATAAGTTGAAAATATCATACTAAGTAAATTATCCTCTTAAATAGTGTGCATTCTAACTAGATAAAAGGCCATCCTTAGTGTTTTACAACAGATCCTAAAAATTGCTCATATATATCAAATATACATTTACTGCATAAGTAAACTAACACAACAGGCTTTTTCCAGATAGTTTACGGTCAAAGTGTGGATCTGGCTTTTCTAGATTGCTTTATTTCCAAATGAAACAATAGAAACATAAAAATACACAGGTGTAGATGTTACTTGAAAAAGCCACCCACATAGTGAATGTTTCATTCCACTCCGGATTCAAAGACGCTTTAATGACTTTTGTTTTGAGTTTCCGCGATTTCTCATTGTCACCGGTCAACTTCAGCTTCACATAGGGGTCGGCTAAGCCATTAGGATCCATGGGGACGAGGTTTTTTGCTTCCTTTACTGCAAAATAAGCAAGAATCAAATGAAGATATATGAACTCCGGTAAAATCTGTGTCAGTCCCAAAAAGTTTAAGGTTTCGCAGAAATCTCAAAACGTATGGTATGCCGTAAGATCTTTCATACGGTACGCTTAAATTTATCGAGGCATATACTTTTGTTTCCATGACTTTCTTGACGCGATAGTCATCGGTATTTATTTCCCTGTCAAATTGAAATTTAATCGCGTTAACTAGATATTTTTTTTAAATTGAGAATATCTATTGTAATAGAAGGACAAAGGGTGTGAAAATAAGGAAAGTGTGTCGAAACAAATAAAAAGCCATACCGTGCACGAAAAGTGTCATATCCTTATAATTCACCTTCAGATAAATTCGACCGAGCCTTTCTGTATGATCGATGCCACAAAGGCGGGGAACATACTTTTCACACCGCTTGTGGACGTTCATCTGACAGTCTACAAAAAAAATTATTTTTAGGGCGGCAGCTTTACTTCCGCATTTTATTCCTTGATGCATGATGCCGTAAAGGAGAGTGCCACATTGGTCGCAAAATGTCGGTGTTGTGTAAGTATGCAAACGAAAATTATGGCTCTTTTTATACTAAAAAAATAAAATAAAGCATATACAGTTTACGTTGGTCTCGGGGCCTTTGTCTGATCCTGGACAAGCAAAAAGCACAAATTCGTGGCATCTCTTATGAACAGCGAAACAACATACTTTGCACTGAAAACCCTGCTTTCCAAAACCCCTGTTTTGAGCTTTATAATGATACTGTGTATTACCAGATAAAGTCTTTGCAATGGCCACAAAAAGTGGCTTGTTTAAAAAACCGCGCTAGAAATTTGTGTCCCTTGACTTCATGAATGTTCCTCTCACGAACCGCACCAATCCTTTCAAATCGTTTTAATTGTAAAGGAAAGCCGTGGTCGTCATGGGATTCAGCCTTCATCATATCTTCGCAATTCGCTCAACTGATTATCCAAGTATGTAACTCCATCGTTGGGCTTGTTTTTATTTCGCGCAATTTATTCGTCCTTCAGGGTAATAATGTCTTTAGTTAATTAAAACTAAACACAGGTTACTTATATATTTTTCATCTTCTTTGTATATTTATAATAATTCTCATTAATCTGATAGTGGTACACTCTCTTAACTGCACTAGATAAACCTGTGATAGGTTTTTTGCTCTCTTTTCAAACACCCTATCGTAGATTCTGCGTACACGATCATGGAACGACAAATCAAGACCTTGTTTCAAGATGATGATACATACGTAATCGTAGTGCAGATGTTCAAGCTAAAAGAAAAATCGCCCTTTAACACTATTTAAAAGCCTGAAAGCCGGCTAGCTCGACATCTCCCCTTCAGTTTTTTACTTCAATACACTGAATAATGCATGAGCCTTTGAGTACCTCGTTTGGAACGTAACATTGAGAACTTCTTGCAGAGAAATCATGTGGGTTGTAATCGTTCCAATCTAGCCACATTATAGAACAATTTGGGAATTGCAAGGCCTAATTTAATTCTCTCATCACTCAGGCTCATTTTGGAGTATAAATATGTCAAAGTGCCTTTTTAAGCTTTTCGGTGCTGGTGGCATCACAATATCTGTGGGAAAGGCATTCCAGCGCTTAACCACTCTGAAAGAGAAGGTAAACTTGCGCAGCATAAGGCGCAGAGAAACGGGGTTAAGAGCCTGATACGAAAAAGCTTCTAAGTAATCTAATAAACCGTGCAGTAGGAAACCCAACGCTTTTCTACAGCTACGTTAGACTGCACTCGAAATAGAGAAAAATTCCTCGGTTAAAAACAGACGATGGTGTAGAAGTTTGCGAGATTAGTGAAAAGGCGAAACATCTATTCTGCTTCTTTCAGTCGGTCTTTACGAGAGAGGCCGAGTTCACCGCTATAAACTCCAGTGTG